AATGCACTGGGCTCAACACAAGTGGAACTGGGTAAAAATAATCCCCCATGTTGGACAGGAGGTCAGATTGCATGATCTGATCATCTCCGGTGTCCTTAAACATTAGAGAACCAAGTCAACCGATTTAAAATGAAAGCAATTTAAATCACCAATCGGAAAGCCTGAATTTCTGTCATCCATTTTCATAAACCTTTCCATTTGTTCTTTAGTAATTTTCAAAGAAAGGATGCCCTCATTAAAAAAAAATGTAGTTACAATTAAATAGTCTTTATACTAGATTTGCTACATCTTTTTACTGCCTAAGAGAATGAACTAACAATATGCATTTATTTATGTGATTACATAGCTTAATATTTTCAGATTCTTATTAACATTTTTAGCATGTTAGAAAATGGCAAAAGACATATGGCTTATTTCCTAATTAACTTTTTGTTCATTATTTGTGTCAACCTGCATTAGGGTGGTAACTGAAATTTAATTAAATACACTAAACAGTAGCTAAAATTCATTTTTATTAAACAAAATATTAAGTGTTTTGCATCCACAAATTTCTCTTATGAAGACATGTTTCACGTTTACAACTAAATGATTTATTAAAGGAACAGAGGGATTAACTGTAGCCAGTGAATTCAACTGATAATATCAGGTCAGCCTGGGAAAATTTTCAAACATGCTTATGTGACAGAGAATGGAGTTTAAATTCCTAGTCAGAAGAGATTTTTAAATCTCTTAAAAATGAAACAGGCTGATGTCCTGTGCCATATTTCTAAACTCTGAACTCAAAAGTTAGATGCCTCCTCCCTCTTTTTCTTTATACTGAAAGGCAGCCTTGAACTCAAACTTTTTAAATAGAATGTCATGGATTCAGAATATTTTTTATTTAAACGTTTTAAGAGATTATAAGAAAATTATAGGTTATACATATTTTAACTATTTTTTCTTTTAATTTAAAAGAACATCTGTAATTTAAATATTAAAAAATAATTTAAAATTATTTTTAAATAAACCCTTTGAATTTTATCCACCTGGTATGAAACTAAGAGATCAATCCGACTGAGTCTAGAAAGCTGTCCCCCAAACAGACACTTGAGAATGACTTGATCATGGGCTTTAAGCACCTCTGTGCAGAGGAGTTTTCTGAGAGCAGAGGATTCAATCCAGGAGACAAAGGCAAAATCAGACCCAGTTGCCAGGAGCTGAAACTTGACAAATTCAGACCAGAAATAAGATGCAAATTTTTAACAGGGAGGGGAATTAACCATCAGAACAGCTGACTCCATGACTGATGCAGTGTTTATACCTTGGGGTTTTTCAATCCAGATCACAAGTCCCTCTAAAACCAATGTTCTAGCTTGAAAATCAGATCTTGGCTGGAGGTAGGAATGGCTAGGAATGGTACTCTTGGCTGGGTTATGCAAGAGTCAGATTAGATGATCACAAAAGTCCCTTCTGGCCTTGAAATCCATGATAATTCTTTAATTCTGGTCAATTTTGTAAGCAGCAATGTGTTCTAGTTAGAGATGTAAGAGTGCAACGGTGTAGTGTAAAGGCTACTGGTCCGGCTCCCAGGGAGTCATGTGCCACCAGATGCTGCTGCCTCTGCTCCAGCCAACTCCCTGCATGCAGCAGTGGCAGGCGGGAGAGCAGTTTTAAAGCTAGCTCCCAGCATACAATGGCTCCCAGGGAGCTGGCTGCCACCCCAGGTGTAACTGTTGAAAGTTTCTGCAGTTACATGGCTAATCAATTACATGAATTTTAACATACCTAGTTCTAGCAGATAGGCGCATTGGTCTGGGAGTCAGAACTAGGGATGTAAAATGCCATTTAAAATGCTAACTGGTTAAACTGTATGTTTAACTGGCCTGCCATGTTGCAGGTCAGAGAGCCACTGGAGCAGCACCCCACTCATGGTGTGGTGCAGCAGGCCCAGCCAGGATGGAGGGGCAGCCCCGGCCTGCAGCACAGCCCATCGTGAGCTGCTCCAGCCAGGCCAGGCCAGGCCAGGCCAAGTCTGCCACACTGTGCCATGGGCAGGAGCTGCTCTGGCCAGGAGCTGATTAACTGATTACTCTGGTAAGCATGCCAGTAGCCTCTGTCTCCTCATCTACTTTCATCTATTCATACTGTGAGCTCCTCCAGAGCAGGGACTGTATTAATGTGTGCCTGTGCCTGGCACAACAGAATTGGGCCTACCCTTCTCAGCTGGATGGGGGCTCTGAGCACAAGGGAGACCCCGATTTCAATTGGCACCTTGAACTACAACTATAATACAAATAATATTAAATAAATGCATTAAACCAGAGTCTGAGACATCTGACAAGACAGATTAAAAGCAGCAGTAAAAAAAAAACTAATTTGGAATGAAAGATCTTCCAATGCGAGCATATAACCCAACAGTGCTGCTGCACACAGCACCAGACATGCCACCTCCTACAGGGCCTGGCAGAATTGCAGGAGGCTTCAAGAATGATGGGCCTGGAACAGCAGAGAGCAATGGGGACTGCTCACTTCTCAGCTGAGCTTAGGAGGAGAGGAGAAATAGGGCACCTCCTTTGCTTCCTCCTAGCACAAGGACATTTGTAGATCCTAGGGCCAGAAGAGCGCCTGTGACAAGCTGACCTTCTATATCATATGGGCCATAGGCATGTCCTGAATAGAGTCCTAGCTGAGATCATAAGGCAGCAAATTCAGAAGTGATCAGAGGAAAAGATTTCTATGCACAGCACGGTTCACCTACCAAACTCATTCCCACAGGCTGTGACTAAGGCTGGGGGGGCCAAACAGGAATCCAGAAGGGAAAACGGAAGGGTGAAGGCGGGAAAGCCAGAGTTTTGGATGGGACATCAAACCTCCCGCCTCAGCAATGAAGCTGATCTCTAGCCAGAGTTGGGAAAAAGACATTGAAGGAGGCCAGATTATCTCCCCTCAGCTGCTTCCACCACAGCAGTGGGAAGGGCCCTCTTGTGCTGGTCTCTGAAGCAGCTGGTCTCACAACCATGACCAGAGACTGGGCTCTTTGGGGGTAGGGAGTATCTTTGTTCTCTTTGTACAGTGCCTAGCATAATGGAGTCCTGCTGTGGGCCTGGGCTCCTGGTGCTACCAAGACATATGTAATACACAGTAATACTGATACCCATGAAGGGTATAGAATTACACACAAGCACTCTGTTGGATCAGAGCCTAGGGCTGGGTGTGTAACAGAGAGCAGGCTCAGAATAACCTGTTACGTTACTGTAATACAAGTAATAATAATGTCCAGAGACCTTGACCAAGACTGGGAACCCCTTGTCACACCAGGAGCTGCACAGGGTCCCCCCCATCAGGCCTAGTGCTCCACAGACACACACTGAAAAGCAATCCCTGCCCTTCATCAGGGCTAGTGGCTAGGGCACCAGACTGGGACTCAGGGCACCTGGGTTCTATTCCCAGGTCTATCACTAATCTTGGGGAAGTCCCTTCTCCTCTCTGTGCCTCACTTTCCTGTGTCATTCAACATCCTGTCTATATTAGGCAGGGTTTACTGGTATCACTTCATCATCAAATCCTCCCTATCCCAGGAAAGATGTCTCCATTGTGGCTTTTGTCAGCACTACTGTTGATCATGGTTGTGGGTTCTACGCTCCTAGCCAATACAGGTAACTGGAAAAGACTTTTACCTTAAACAAGATCTCACCAGGGAGCTCTTTGTGTTGAGCCTGTCCATTATGTGTCTGAGCAGTGCCCAGTACAACTGGGGCACTCTAAGCCAGAGATCTGAGCAGCATCCACCACCAATCTGTGGGGAAAGGGGATCCTTCATGCTATCACAATACACCTGGTTGCCCCAACTGGGACTCCAACATACTAGTGCAATACAAATAGTCAGTAATTTAATGTCAGAAACAATCACAGTGATAATTTAGTCTGAACTCTGGTATAGTAGCCCTGAAGTAATTCCTGATTAAACTAGAATAGATCTCTTAGAAAAAACACCCATTTTAGTTTGTAAGTTGCCAACAACAGAGAATCTACCACACCCCTTGGGAAAATGGCCCAATGTTATTAATTCCCCTTGTTGTTAAAACAGAAACACAGTATTTCTGCTATGAATTTTTCTAGCGTCAGCTTCCAGCTATTAGATCTTATGAGATCTTTGCTAGATTGAACAGCCCATTATCAAGTGTCTGTTCCTCTGGTAATTATCCATAGTCTGATCAAATCACCCCTTCTCTTTGTTAGGCTAAACAAATTGAGTTCCTCAAGTCTAAAACACATAACAAACAAACCACTTCCGGTTTTAGTAATTTACTGTGTGTCTGTATTTCCGCCCCAGATGTGGCGGGACAGAAGAGCTCTGGGTTATGGGATAATATGGAAAGTGCCACACTACATAAGAACTAGGTGTTAATGGTTACAGGCCCAAAACATCAAGTCAGAGATGCCATTTCCATGGTGTAATGTCCAGTCAGCTCAAGCCCAGCCCTTCCTCCAGTCTGAAGGATCCTGCCACCTGTGTTTTTCCCAGTGTGTTGGCCTTTCTTAAGAGACACCAATTCCCCCTCTTCTCCTTTTCCCACATTTCAGATCCCAAATCCACTGTGCCTGCCTTACCCCCAAAGCAACCAGGGAAATCACTGCCAACCAAGGCCTAGGAAGCAGTTTTCACAAGCCACCATCACAATACTTTTCCAAAACAAAACAGAGGCCCAGTTGAGGAAATAATGGGTGGGGTGGGGGGAGAAGGGACAAAGTGGGGGAAACCCAGACTCCTGGGGAATCCCAGCTTCTCTTCAAGCCCCCCATATTCATAACCAGCACTCCAGTAATGGGTGCTCCCCCCACACTCACATCTGTATGAGCTCAACTGCATTTACACATCCAACTGTCCCAGTAACTCGCTGTATGAGTATTTCATGCAAACCCTCCAGAGATGAAGGTAAGGAGAAGAGATACCCCAGAGTTAAATGGGGGTCCTGAATTTGAGGAAAGTCCCTATTGCTGGGGTGAGCGTATACACTTACCTTCCATTTCTGCCATAAGTCAGGCTAGGTTCCAGGCTAGGAATACAGGAGGTACTGCAGTGGGTGCTCCCTGGCTGGAGGGAGTCAAGGAAGGGGGCTCCCAGCTTTGGAGCCAGAAGAATCCAGGGAATACGAGGCTGGGGAGGGCTCCTGCGCGGGGCTCAGGAAACAAACCCCAGTCCACAAGAAGGACGTGTGCGAGCTCGGGGGGGTGTCTCAGTACAACGGCAGGCGGGG